GGTCCCTTGCAATGCCTTGAATTTGTAGCTAGAAGCCTAGAACTGAATTGGAATAGAAGGAAAGTTTTATATAATTACAAGATTATTGGTAACTGACGTTTATTCAGTTTCTTCTAATATGATTTTGTATCATATATTTCATTGTTAGAGAATGGATTCAACAACCTCTTTGATTTTGCACATCAGCTTATAGATCATGAGATGTTAAGCAGTTCTAGCAGCCCAATAATATTGATTTTAATTATTTTGCTGTTGTAATTTATGCCAACACTGCTATAGCCTATGTTACATGGGTACTTCTAATATGGAGTCATACTCATACATGACATGTGTCGTACCCGTACTTGATCCCAAAACTTCTTGGACACTCCTTAAACATATGCATATATTTATTGACACATTATGCAATGCACCTTTCATTTAAAACACTCGTCATACATTTCTTGGATATATAACCTTCACTTTACATCCACTTCTACAACTTGCGGGATAAAGGGCGAGTTTATTTCAGCCTTAAGAGCTGCAATTTGAAATGGTCGTTTTAGTTTAGAATTATGATTATATCCTATGGAGTTTCAGTTATGTCCCCATACCAAATTTTCCATGTCTCATCCCCATACAACTTAGGCTACAACACTTCTATATGATGATATGCACTGCTGAAGAAATGAACTGGGCGATATCCTCCTAATAGATCTAGTTTTTAATGGTCAGACCTGCAAAAAGGTTGGTAAATTTTTTTTTGTTAATGAAAGATAACTTCTTGATCTTCCATGCTTTGTTGTATTTTGATGCTAATACTTTCATTGTCATGCTAGGCACTTTATTGTCCATCAATTTGTACTTGCATTGTTTACTATAGTTTTGCTGAAACTATATTCCAGTTACTCCATTCTTGTTATGTTTATTTTAGAAGTTCTAGCCTCATCTCTTCTGCTGAAACAACATTTTCAGTCATCTAGAAGAGACTTTACCTTGATTATGCCTAGAAGTTCATCCATGGACAACATCCAAAGATAAATGACTTAAAACTTGGTGACAGGGAATTTCGAAGTCTCTTGGTTTTGTTTTGGCGCTAGTTATGGGCAACCATTGTTTTAACTATTCAAATCTACATCTGATCAAGGCATCAAAACCCTTCCTCCTTTCCGTAAACCTTTTTTCCCCCAAAATCTAAAATGTTTTGATGCGGCTTTTCTTATTATTGTTTCAACATATAATGCATCTCTCTTCTGTACGTGACAAGGTTATTGTTGTCCTATTATTGATTATGATTTTGAAAGGGCCAGAGGAGATAAGCATGCTCCGAGCTCTTCTTTTACAGTAATCTGTAGGAAATCTGTTTTTTTAATGGGTGTAATTTAACTAAGCTTGAACATTTGATGTATTTGTACAATTGCGACTCAATTCACTCTGCTAAAGTTTGATGTCCTGCTGTTGTTTGTTTTGTGACTTTTTGTGGAGAAGCTGCTGAGAGATGGCTAGCAATATGAATAATGTTTTTTTACTAATATGCATGTAAGCTTTTATATGCAAATTCTACGGCATATGAATAGCTGGAACTGAATAAATTTTGGTGAAGTGTAGAAGTAGAGAAATGCGAGATCTTATTAGTCTTTATGTGTTTCTTCTGTTGCAATGGCACTTAATCAAGAATGTATCTTAAAAGGTTTTCAGACTGGATTCTTAATCTTGGTGCCCTGTGGGTTTATGTCTAGTAAGTTTTTGTTTTGTCATAAGCATATGATTTTTATCCTTATTAGATAGTATTTTCTCTTGATTATGCTAGGCTGCAGATCATCTGATGATCATCAGGCTATCCGATCTGGTTTGCCAATCTGTAGTGGACATGACGATTGGGGACGCGATGATAGGGGAGGGTGCGGACATGATTCAGAAGATATTCAAAGTCAAATTTGACATGACGCAGAATGAGCTAGAAGAGGAAGATAACGAGAACAGATTAATGCTGCTTAATAAATCAGTGCTGAAGGAGTCCAATGTGGACAGCTTGCTCGAGTTGAGTGATTTTATCGCTTCACCACCAACAGATGAACATAGCGATTGATCTGCAGGATATGACCTAGAGGTTTCATATGTTTCTTTTCACTTTAGTTTTCTTGGATATGATTTGGTGGTGGTGCATAAATTCTGTTGATAGCCATTACCTGATGATTCTCTATTTGTATTCTTCCTCTTTAGTTTATTATTACAATATAACCTATGCTTATACCTACACTTTAGGGGCTGTCTTGCTGGTTTCTCGGTAACCAAAGAAACATGAAATGGGGGTACAAAATAATCAACCATGGTATCCTCCCACTTTCCCATAAAAAAAAAGAGGTCAACAACTTAGGAAACAATTTTTCTAGAGAGTCAGATCAACTGAGTCAGATCAATCACTACGAATGTGACACATATGATTCTATTTTAAGGATATAAGAATTAATAAAACACTGCAAATGAAACTATTATAAGGAAAAACAGAGAATCGGAAACTAGTATCAAATTAAGAATTAATAAAACACTGCAGATGAAACTATTATAAGGAAAAATAGAGAAAAGGAAACTAGTATAGAATTAAGAATTAATAAAACACAAGGAGATCCCCTCTCTCCATACTTGTTTATTTTGGGAATGGAGTATCTTACAAGAAGTTTGAATCTTCTTGAGCAAGATGGAAATTTCAAATTTCATCCTAAATGTGGAAGGCAAAAAATATCTCACCTTATATCTTCTTGAGCAAGATGGAAATTTCAAATTTCATCCTAAATGTGGAAGGCAAAAAATATCTCACCTTATATTTGCAGATGATTTGTTACTTTTGTGGAAGGCAAAAAATATCTCACCTTATATTTGCAGATGATTTGTTACTTTTTTGCAAAGGTGATCTCAAATCTGTTCAAAAAATCCACCAGTGTATCAACAGATTTAGTCAGGTATCAGGTCTTCAAGCAAATCTCATTTAATGTGCTATCTTCTATGGGGAAGTAGATGATGCTATAAAGGAATCAATCCAGAATTACTTGGGATACACTGAAGGAAAAATGCCAATAAGATACCTATGTGTACCTCTTGTATGCAAGAGGCTAAACTACCTGGATTGCAACCCTCTCATAAGCAAAATCTCCAGTCAATTACAGAACAGTTTGAAGAACAGAAAACTGTCATATGCTGGAAGATTACAGGTGATAAAAAGTGTAACTCTAGGAATTCAAATTTACTGGACTTCTAGCTATGTTCTACCATTGAAAGTGCTGCAAAAAGTGAATGAACTTTGTAGGAATTTCCTATGGGGTAAGGGTGATCTTACATTTAAACAATCACTGGTTTCTTGGGATAGAGTGTGCACAAGTAAATTGTACGATGGACTGGGAACTTTCTCATCTACTATCTGGAACTTGGCAGCAGCTCTGAAGTTATTATGGGACATTCATATCAACAAAGAGTTATTATGGATCAAATGGATCCATGGCAACTATCTAAAGCATATGGAAGTATGGAGAGTGGAAACGAAAGCTAGTGATTCTTGGATGTGGAAGCAGTTAATTAAAGCCAGGAATAAAGGCACTTCTCAATGTGGAGGATTGGAAAATCTGAAGAATCTAATCAGTTCTTGCTGCAGGAATTCAAAAATCAAGTTGTCAGAGTTATATCATGCTCTATCTCCTGCTATTAGCAAAGTGCCATGGAGTGTAACTATCTGGGGGGGTTTAACCAACCTAAACAATCTTTTATAT